AAAGTATTTGTACTTCGTTACTTCCCATCTCTGGTTGTAAGTCTGTAACAGCTTCAAGAAGTGCGCCTTTTTTCGGTATTGCTTTGCAAAGTGGCAAATAGACAGTAAACGTTGATTTACAGGTCTTGCCCTGTATATTTGACAACTTTTTTATTGTCATTTTGTATGTACAGGGGGGGGATTTACCATTAGGCAATACTAGGTCGTTACCTAGGGCGCCAAGTTCCTGGGGGCCCCATAAAACTGTTTACATGTATGGTTAATACAACTATTCCTTATTTGTGCACATTAAATATGTTTCTGATAAAAAATCCTTTTGCTAAAATGCCATTAGAACGCTGATAATATTAATAGTGTCTCAGCCCCCCCTTCAGTGTCCACCATATTGGATCAGTCCATTTGCTGCACATGTTCAGAAAGGTCCAAACAGACAGCAGCAAACCATTAGAAAACAAACGATGCGAAGAGCAGTGTTGCTAACTTAAAATTTTTGTTTCTATATTTGGCGACTTTTCAGACTAACTGACCTGCATAACATAACGAGAAAAAAAAATACAGATATTAAGAGAGGATTTTTTTTTTTTATTGAAATTTTCTAACTTTTGGGACAATATCGTCTGATAAAGAGTGCATTTATATACCGTACATGTTTAAGCCAGAATGATTTGACATTTAAATATGGCTTCCCTACGACTTTAACATAGATGGCTTCCTTTGCACCCCACTCAAACCACCTGTCTTCTTTGTCTAATATGTGAACATTCTGGTCCTCAAAAGAATATCCTTTGTCCATAAGGTGTTACTTTCATTGCAGAAAGCTTTTGTAAAAGCTCATCCGACCTCTTCTGCATGCAGACACAGGAATTCTGTGAACTTACACATTTCAGCAGATTTCATGTTGAATGAGAGGCAGAACTAGGGTCCTAACATCCCCCCAATGTGTCTCCACAATGATGCAGTGTAGTCAGAAGATGGAGTTGTCAGCATTATAGAGAAGTTGTCACTTACTGAAACACTACCTGGCTTCCTACCATGCGTGAGATATTCGAGGAAATTCAATTTTTTTGTAGCACTTTAGGGATTTTAATACAAATGTGTATTTTATTTGCACTTTATTTAGTTTTGGGGGTGCAGTTTGTAGCACTGTTGCAAGAAGGTTCCGGGTTCGTTCCCCTGTCGGGGGTTTCTCTGCATGCGGTTTGCATGTTCTCCCTGTTCATGTGTGGGTTTTCTCAGTGTATTCTCATTATGAGTTCGTATG